ACGCTTGTTGGTTACACCACCTTTGCTCCTTTCACATGAAACGTATTAGGATTTGACTTTTATCCGATTAAAACCTTCGCTCTTTCCATATGAGATACGGTTAGGTACGCTTGTTGGTTACACCACCTTTGCTCTTTTCACATGAAACGTATTAGGATTTGACTTTTATCTGATTAAAACCTTCGCTATGAGATACGGTTAGGTATACTTGTTGGTTACACCACGTTTTCACCTTTCACGTGAAACGTGTTAGGATTTGATGTTTATTTGGTTAAAACCTTTCCCTTCTCCGTATGAGATATGAGTAGGTGCGCCGGTTTGTTACACCGCCTTTGCTCCTTTCACGTGAAACATGTTAGGACTTTCATATTTTCTTGTTGGTTACACCACATTTTTACCTTTCACGTGAAATGTGTTAGGATTTGATGTTTACTCTGTTAAAACTTTCCCCCTCTCCGTCTGAGATACAGTTAGGTATGCGCGTTGGTTACACCACCTTTGCTCCTTTCACGTAAAACATATTAGGATTTTCATCTTTGTCTGTTGGTTACACCACATTTTCACCTTTCAGGTAAAACGTATTAGGATTTGATGTTTTATTGATTAAAACCTTCCCTATCTCCGTATAAGATATGGGTAGGTACGCCTGTTGGTTACACTACGTTTGCTCTTTTTACGTGAAACGTGTTAGGATTTACACCTTTGCTTGATGGCTACACCACATTTTCACCTTTCACATGAAACGTGTTAGGATTTGATGTTTACTTGGTTAAAACCTTCCCCCTCTCCGTATGAGATACGGTTAGGTATGCTTGTTGGTTACATCACCTTTGCTCATTTCACATGAAACGTGTTAGGATTTTCACCTTTGCTTGTTGGTTACACCACATTTTCACATTTCACATAAAATGTGTTACGACTTGATTTTACCTTGTTAAAACCTTCCCCCTTTCCTTATGAGATATAGTTAGGTACGCTTGTTGGTTACACCACATTTTCACATTTCATGAGAAACGTGTTAGGATTTTATGTCTACCTGGTTAAAACCTTCCCCATTTCTGTATGAAATACGGTTAAGTATGTTTGTTGGTTACACCACATTTTCACCTTTCACGTGAAATATGTTAGGATTTGATGTTTACCTCGTTAAAACCTTCCCCCTTTCCGTATGAGATACAGTTAGGTATGCTTGTTGGTTACACTAAATTTTCACCTTTCACGTGAAACATGTTAGGATTTGATGTTTACCTGCTTAAAACCTTCTCTCTTTCCGTATGAGATACGGTTAGGTATGCTTGTTGGTTACACCACATTTTCACTTTTCATGTGAAACGTGTTAGAATTAGATGTTTACTTAGTTAAAACCTTCCCCTTTCCGTATGAGATACGATTAGGTATGCTTGTTGGTTACACCACATTTTCACTTTTCACGTGAAACGTGTTAGGATTTGATGTTTATTCGGTTAAAACATTCTCCCTTTTCGTATGAAATACCACTAGGAACATCTATTGGTTACACAACTATACCTCCTCGAGTTCATTATTTTCTTCTCTCGCGTGAAATGCATTTGGATCTTAGGTTCACTATTTCTCCTCTCACGTGAGGCGTGTTTGGATTTTGAGTTCACCTTTCTTCGATCAACTGAGTTATGGCACATTTAATGCAATGATATGGCACATTTGTATGCAATTCACTCTCTCTATTATTTGTGTTGTGGCACATTTATATGCATTATACCCTCTGTTATGCTTTATATCATTTGCATGAGGCTTGTCTCATATGTTACTATCTTCATATCTTTGTCATCACTCCACAACATTGAATCCTATTACATAATCATGAATTTTCAAAACAACCGGCTACGCGAAGCGTGTGAGTCCAACTTTCAAATTGTAAGCCAAGCATGTCATTTGCATTCTGTCCCTGAACTATGCTGGTTTGATTCCTTCCAATGGGATGCGTAGGCAACCTTCAGGTTCAACCAATTGCATTGCATCTTGTTTGTTTGCTCGAATCTTACGGCCTTGTCAAAAGGGTCATCTTCGAGCTTTGACATTCGCTCACGTCATGAAATGACTCCGAGCTCTATCAAAGAGGGAAACTGTAGACACCCCATTTTAACTGGCCCTAAGACTTGGGCGCTTTCTTTTGACCGCCTTATGATGAATAACAAAAAGGTGTTTCTCACAAAATCCTCAACAAGAAAAATGGAATTTGGTTTTCTCTCAAAAAACTTACGCCCATTTTGGCCAAACTATTTTAGACCTTAAAACCCTCTTTTCAAAATATTTTTTCAAATGTTTCTACGATGTTCCAAGGCTCCCATTTTGATTAAACTATTGCACTTTTCAGTAAATCGAGTAAGTACAAAGTGGAGATAAATTGAAGGGAGGTGAACTCTTTGAAAAATATTTAAAAACATCTTGTTTATAGGTTTGGAGTTGAAGGAAATAGGAGGAGATGGAAGAAAACTGGTTTAGGAAAAGGATGAGCATCAAATCGTTAAGAAATAAATGAATAACCTTTACTAAATTAGGCATATATATTTGTAAACTTAGAATTTAGATGTTAGGCCACCACCATTGGAAAGTAGACTTCTGGTGCTTCAATTTAGACTCAAGAATCACCTAAACCGAGTCCGGATAAAAGAGATATGGTCGTTTGAAATTGGGCTTAAGAGCATATTTTATTGACCCGGCCCGAGACAGTAGCAGACCCTTTTTTTTTAGTTTTAGTATAGTTGGGACACCCCATTGACCCATTTTATGATCCATTCAAGTGCACTCACTCATCCTCCATTATCTCCACTTACCCTCTATTATCAAAAGAGGTTTTGGCCTTGTCATAACGGATGAATCAAAAGCAACAAAATCTTGATCATCATTATCATCCTTATCATCCTTGTCATCCCCAACACCTTTGTCTTCCACCTTGTCCCCCATTCCTTGACTTTTTTATTCCTTCATGGCTTACACATTCAGATTGTATATTAAAGAGGGAGAGGATGGAATGAGAGAAGAAGAACATCATTCAAGAGAGTTAGAGAGAAAAGAGAGCAAAAGAGGAAAAATTGTCTAAATTGCAATCTTGAGCCAAAACACTTCCAAGCTTCCATAGCTATTGAAATTCCTCATTTCCATACACCAAAACCACTCCAAAAATTTTGATATAGCCAAAGATCAATTGCCTTGATCATAAGGAAGAGTGTTTACTGATTGAAAGTGAGAAAAACTAGAGAGTTAGCCACTTTCCATACCATAAACTCCATAATTTTGAATTGGGGATTTGAGAACACACTTCCTACACGTGAGGGTGATCAAGAGGGAGTTTGTGAACTAAGGAGTTCATCCTTTCCTTGGAAGGTGAATTTCACAAACTTCTCATTTTCTTGCATTTCTTACTTATTTTGCTCTTTTGCTTTGATTTCTTGTTATGTTATATATTTTTGTAATCTAATTGAAAGTGGTGAGTTGAGACTCCCATATATATTGCTTTAGTTCTGTTGTTGTTGTGGAAAATCTAAGAAAACAGAGTTTGACCAAGCCCACCGGGCTACCCGGCCCGTTAGTTGGCCGGGTAGCCACCTAAAAGTACACCATCGCGCCCGCGACCTTCATGACCGTGCCCACGACCTCTAGGCAAAACCAAGCAGCCTTCTGACGTTAAAAAGAACAACCTCCGATGGTCTTTGAGGCGCTTGAAGCTGTTATTTTTTTATGTTTATTTTATTTTGAGTGTTTGTGAGGATTTTTATATTGTATTGTAATATTTATTCATCTCCCTTGGATTTGTAATACGTAAAGTGTTGTAATAATTCCCCATCCCCACTTCTTATCTATCGCATTCTTTAATCGATTTCCCTAACTGTACATATGTATATATCTTGCATGCCATGCATATCCATGCTTTTATATGCATGATTCATGCCTAGATCTGGCTAAATTTGCATATTTGAGCTTTAATTAATTATTACCTGATTTTGTGCGCTATCGCATGTTTTGCAATGTTTCACATGTCATGTTTTAGAAACTGGATCTTTAAAAGCACTCTTGTGTTTGTATTGCATTAGGATTTTGTATATAGGATCATGCATATTTTACTAACTTTGTTTTGTAACTGTTCGCGGGACGTCAATAAATATATAAATTATTATGCTTTAGCATCCCGCTTGTATATAATTTTCTTATTATGTTTAGCATCCTACCATGTGGCTATTTGCTTATGTGATATATCTCCATGAATACTGATAGATGGAGGTTGTGTCACTTAATTTGGAATAATATTGATTTTCATGTTGTAAATTCAATTTTTTTGAGTTATGCATCTTCAAAACTCTTTCAAAAAACACATGAACTCAAATTGTTCCAAGATGAATGACATAGTCTATACTTGTATGCTTCACATAGTAACTTTTTAGGATCTATTAAATAAATCGAAATATGAACATATGAAGCAAGTAAAACTCATATCATGGTTTAGTAAAGGCCGATCTTTGATTGGGTGAGCGGGGGTGCTCTTATTGACCTTCTTCTCTCATACCTAAGATTCTGAACCAAGCATCTTTGGTTATGATGAACAGTGGCCTTGGCACGAGTCATGAGTTTCCTAATTTTCTAAAATATTAGGTGGCAACTTTGAAATCTGATGACATAATCCATTTTTGACAAAATTGCAATAAAATGGATTTTCAATAAAAGTTTCCAAATTTGGACTCTCATCTATGTTTCACATTTCATTTGTGAGACTAGATCGCAGAGATCTCGAGAGTCCAAACTGTTTAACGTGCACGGGTATCCCTGGGTGATGTTACAAGAACATATTAGAAATTCTAAAGTAGAAAAAACTAAATCAGTAATGGCTTCAACAAAAGCAGAGAAAAGAACTAAAATTCATAGTAGTTATTCAAAATCCTTAGCATCATGAAGAATATCCAGCATATAACATAATTATAAGGAGAAAGAGCAAGAATTATTGCCTACCCAATCTCTCACTAGTCCCGAAGCAACCAATTGCCGAGTTAGTGCACAAAGGTTGAGGTTATAGATTGTCACAAATCCAACAATGTGGCCAATGATATCCGAGGCGGAAGAATTTTTTGCTCATCGGATGTACTGTAGAAGCATTTCCAGGAACGACATTTCCATAGAGAGAGAATTGTAATTGGGATGCTGCTCCACTAGTTGATTGGCTACTCTTCTCTTCTTGCTCCTTGTACACAAGATGGACTCCAACCTCCTTCACTTGAAAATCTTCACTTCCAACCACTGAAATATTCAGTTCATCCCCACCTTTCAACTGATTTTCAAACTTCCAATAACTTAACAACATCATATCCTCATCAGCTTCTGGAATGCCAATGACATTTGGGGAATGGCTCCAAATCAGACTCTTGGTTGTATTATTGATAATAGTATGTGCATCACAATCATGGTCAAGATATTTATTGGAAAGTGCATAAATAGAACACACACTCAAGGCTTGAATTCTGAAATGCGATGGCACTTTAAAAGATATTGAAGATCCTGTATTTTTAATATTAAACCAAGTTGGAATCTTGCTTTCCGGAAGATAAGCGTAAAACATGTGTTCTTCATGACATCCCTGTACCAAAGAAACCATAATTTAACCATTACAATTTTTTATTATTTTTATTTTTGTTTATTTTGAGAGAGAGAGAGAGAGAGAGAGAGAGAGAGAGACCTGTAGGGGAAGCTTCTTTTGATTCTCTGCGTACATCTTTGAAAGCGTAACAGTTGGGCTTCCCATGGATCCAAAGTTGGGCAAGCCCAAATTATTCATTATCTCCACATCAATATTCCCTATGGGTTCTAACTTAAATGCGCCCACGACCTCAACTATATTGTCGCACATATCATAGAATAGTAATGGTCTGCTATGCCCCATCATAACAAATTGATTCTCCCATGAGTCATTATATCGCATGGTTAATGGAGCTGAATAAGATCTACATTTTGAGTTGTAAAACTCTTGCAAATTCTGCAACTTTATATATGCATCACGATGGTTCTTGAATTCTAAGGTTGATGATGAAAATGATTGAAATGTTACTTTCTCCAACAATGTACATTCAATGACCGACAATACTTTCAAATTCTGCTCCACTATAAGTGATTGAAGCCTTTTACACTCTTTACATTCAATGACCGACAATACTTTCAAATTCTGCTCCACTGTAAATGATTAAAGCCTTTTACACTCATTTAATTCAAGGACCTGAAGTCCAGTAAGACCTTTGATGCAATTGGGGAGGCTACAAAATGGATTATTGCCCAGATTTAATATCTGCAATGAGAATAGGTTGCAAAAATCCTTTGGAAAAGCATCCTCCGATAATTTGCAATCGACAAGACTTAAGTGTACCAAATACCGTGGTAAAAGAGTACATGAAATTTCTACACTTTTTCTTGGTTTCGATAGAGAAGGCCAGATGAATGAATACCATGGTTTGACCTCCTTAGTGGTAGAGAGTAATGGACTTACGACAGTTCCATTTGCATTAAACTTTGTTAAAGAATCCATAGTCCCCATCTCTATTGGCAATTCCTTAATATTTGAGCAACCTGAGATGTCAAGAGTTTCCAAAAATTTTAGCATAACAATGCTTCTTGGAAGCTTCCTTAGATTTTTGCAATTTTTCAAATTTAATAAAACAAGTCTCTGAAGGTGTCCAATAGATTCATGAACCTCTACCAGCCTTGCACAATTTTCAAGTATTAGTCGCTCAAGATTGGGTACTTCCAAGAAATCAAGAATTTCGGAAAGGCAATGGGAATAACTAAGATCAAGGATTTTTAATGACTCGAGAAACTGTAATAGAAAAAAAATGCTGGTTATTGTTTCTTTTAATTCTCAAACAAAATTGAAATGAAAACAAACAAATGAGTAACATACCTTGGTTCCTTCCCAAACCTTTTGCAAGTTGCTATACGACATCTCAAGAACAACCAGGTTATCCAAAGGGAAATCATCGCATATAGAGTTGAAAGAGAATCCATGCCAACACAACCATCGTAATCCTTTCGGAAAATTTTCAAAGCTTCCATTGACTTGTAAATTTTTGAGTTGCAAAAGTTTTAGTTTATACATCCTTGCAAATGCATCAACTTCCAAAGCTATCTTATCTGAATTTCGTAGAGCAATGCCTACTGTCTGCCAGGAGAAGATGCCAAAACGACGTCTTTTAAACGAATTTCCTACATTTGACATCAAAGATGTGCTGAGGAATTCTTTAAAATGACGTTTTCTATTGACACCAATGACTGTCTTGTCATATTTATCTTCCAAAAAGTTCATATCAAGTATAAGGCCTTCAATTTTTCCTGTCCCCTAATAAATAATAAGAGGGAGATGACATTGATCAAGAGTAATGTTATACCCCAATATATATATATATATATATATACAAAATTCTCATACAAAATGATGTAACTTTCATTTTTTAAAAAAAACCACCAATGTAAATGATTTTTTTTTTTTTTTTGGGTATGAAGTTTCTAAGTTTGGATCATTTTTTGATAACTATAGAAATACATACAAATATAAATGAGGAGAAGGATTAATTCTTACAGTATTTTCTCTCAAGACATTGAAGGAATCTTTATGATTCCATAGTCTACTACGTTCTCCCAGTTCCTTAGGTGATTCTTGGCGAACAATTTCTCTTCCCATTTCTTGAACCAATTGATGCATCACTAGCTTTTGTGTTTATCAATCATTAACAGGCATTTATCAATGAGATTTTGAATCCCAACCATTGTGTAAAAATCACATCCATCTAGAATTGTAACTACCCATTCTTCATCCATCCCAACAAAGAAACAAGCAACATGGAGGAATAAATTTTTGTTGTGGTCATCTTGTAAAGAGTCATAGCTTATTTTGAGTTTTTCAATGACTTGATAATTAGGAATCGCTTTCAATTTCTCCAATTGACTTTTCCAGACATTTAAGCTTTTCCCTGACAGCGAAGAACCCAAAATTTTTATAGCTAATGGAAGCCCTCCACAGTATTGTATCACCCTTTCTGAGACCTCTATGAAACCATCAATGGGACGGTTTTGGGCAAAGGCATGCCAACTAAAGAGCTCTAAGGACTCACCAAATTTTCAACCTTGTGAATGTGGCAAACTTTCATGAGCCCTTAGCAACCGCTCATGTTTAGTGGTTATGATGATTTTACTACCTTGAAAAAGCCAATCTCGCATTCCAAGTATTGCATCTAGTTGGTCTATTGTATCCACATCATCAAGAATTATAAGAACTCTTTTGCAATGTAATGCATCTTTAATTTTAACAATTCCTTCTTCAACATTATACAACTTTTTCTTTCTTCCCTGTAAAATATCTGAAAGAAGTTGTCTTTGTAATTGAAGTAAACCATTTGGCTGTTTTAGAGTTTCGCTTACATTTGCAAGAAAGCTGCTTTCTTTGAACTTTGAGAAGTTCGAATTATATAGAAATTTGGCAATGGTTGTCTTTCCTATTCCACCTATCCCACAAATTGCGACTATACCAACATCACTAGACCCATCTCGTAACCAAAGCCCAATATTTGTTGCTCGAGAATGTATTCCGATCAAGTAGGGGGAATTCGCCAAGATTGTGCGTCTTAGTATGTCTGAAACAACTTCTACAATTTTGTGGATAAATTTTGACTCGAGTCTAAAGACAAGATCAAGATTTAAAATAAAGCACAGTAAGAATGCAATGACTTGAAATTAATTATAAATTCTCATGCAATAATGAAGAAGATGACTATGTTATTTAGGCCAAGTTTGGCTACTGCCAAAAAAGTGCACTTATTTTATCTTTTTATCTTTTTTGGGTCACATCAATCAACATCTCCTCTCTACTTTTTCTACATATAATACAAAAAAAGTCAAAAAGTGCACTTATTTAGTCTTCCCAAACTAGGCCTTATTGTCTTTTTTGAAACAATTAGACGAATCCTAGATGAAAAAAAAAAGGGAGGGGGGATGGGGGGCTTTTACAATCATCGTTTTGGATCAATACTATTTTTTCTAATATAAATTGTTTTCCCTGTTTTGCATTTTATGAGAATATAGTAAGCTTATAAGTTATTAAATTTTTTAAGAATAGTCTAATTTTTTTCAGTGAAATTTTAGGACTAATAATACCAAGACCCCTCAATTATTGGTAAATATATATGATTTATCACCTCAACTACTAAAAGCATATCACTTTCATCTTTGTACGGTTTTTATAATTGAAGGAATCAATATATATAAGTTCATAAATAAAGTAAAGTAATGCGAGCTATTAGTTAATGGGGTCTATCTTGGTGTGATTAACCCAAATTTTTATGATTGAAAATGAACAACTTCATGTGATCTTTTCAAATAGCTTGAAAGGGAGAACCATCTCAAAAAATCATAGTTAATAAATCCAAGTTTTATTTGGGTATTATGAAGAACTTCCTGTGAACCTGTACCGATTTGAAAAGAAACCAACTGGATGTTCCTTCAAGGACAATTTAACTTCTACATTTGAGGTTATATTTTAAAAATTAAAAGATGTCAAACTCTTGGAATTTAAAATAAATAAATAAAAATTCATCCCAAATTTTGATCAAATAATTTTTAATCTAAAAGGCCCTCGTATGAAATACTTTTAACTACAAAATCCCAAAAAAGGGCTATGAGATGGGATTAATGCTATATGTCAAGGCATCATATATGTTTTATAAGAGATGTGACTATACATATATAACCATATATCTAAAAAGGTACGGAAATGCTACCATAATTTACCCGTTGATTTATGATTTATCCTGGAAGCTTCAAAGCGAGTGTGAATGGGCATTTTAAGGACACCTGTGTGCGGACATTTTCGGCATGGAAGAAGCTGCTTGGAAGTTGGGGTTACAAATGTGTGGGAAAAGTGGTGGGATGAGCAAGGTTGGACAAAAATGCTGAGAAAGTGGGGATTTTTATTTTTATTTTTATTTTTTTACCAAATTCAGTATATTTAACATAATTTTAAAACTTGAAAGGGTCCATTTTATAATACACTTTTCTTTTTCTTTTTTTTGGGTATATATCACATATAAGTTATGATAATTTATGATATTTTTAGTTATAACTAAAAAAATACAAAGGAACATAATCAAACGTAATTTGAAACATAATAACAATTCCAATAGGTTGTAACCAACCTACCAAAATGGGTCACAACACTAATTGAGCCATAACCAAAAGATCTTCAATCATAACTAAAATAACAACAATAATAACTAAATTATAACTAGCGCTGTAACTAGTCATAATAAACACCACAATTTTATTTTTAGTGGCAAAAAAAAAATTTATTTCATAAAAATTCAATATATATATAGAAAACAATTGATCAAAACCAAAGACTACAAAACTTGTAAGTGGATATATATATGTATATATATATATATTTTAACTTGGAATAATCGTAAGGGGACATATAGTACACCTCTTTTTTGAAATGTGTGATATGGAATTTTTTAACTTAAAGTTATTTTGAATTTATATATATATATTTATATGTTATTTTGTAAAATGATATTTTAAAAATATAATTTTAAATTTTAAATTTTGTTTTCAACTTCAATTACTTTATTAAAAAAAAAAAGATCAATTGTCATCAGTGTGTTTGGTTTGAGTTTTCTAGATTAAGTTTTTTGAAAAATGAGTTTTTTGGTTTTCGTATTCTTTTATTTTTAGTGAATATTTTTTAAATTTTAAACATTTTTTTTTACTTTTTTAGATGCACCTTAGTTAGATGTATCTAAAAAGTAAAAAATTTGTGAAAAAATATTTTAAAAAATTAATAAATACATAAAAATACGAAAAATGTACTGAATTCTTATATTTTTTTTGTATTTTTGATATTTAGTGAATTTTTAAAAGATTTTTTTTATAATTTTTTTACTTTTTAGATGTATTTATGTTAGGTGTATCTAAAAAGTAAAAAAAAAAATGTTTAAAATATTAAAAAATTCAGTGAAAACAAAAAAACACGAAAAATAAGAAAGTAAAATTTTTTGAAAAATATTTTTTAAAAAATAAAAACAAGCAAACTGACCATGCTTTGAAAATATACTTCAATATAATATGGACATGAGAAATAAGTAAAAAAATTACTTAAATTTTAAAAATAAATGTCGACTGCGAGTGTCTTCACCTCTGGAAACCCAAGAACACATGACAACTACATGGGGAATTGGAAGAGGAGGCTTGTTAGGCTCTAACAAGCTCCACAGGGAATTAAGGACAAATGGGATGAAAGCTCTGTCAAGGCATCATAGATATTTTATAAAAGATGTATCTATGGAATAATTTGAAAAAATAGTTAAAAGTTAATTTTTTGACTTTTTAAATTGTTTTTTATTATTTTATGTGATAAATAATGTGACTTAAAATAAGTTAAAAATTAATTTTTGACTTTTAACCCATGTTCTTAAAATGGTCCTGTATCTAACCATATATCTAAAAGGAAGAACTAAGTAAAAAAATAAAAATAAATAAAATAAGGTGAAGAAATGCTACCATAATTGACCTCTCACGCCCCACATTTTGTTACTTGAAATCCATTACCAAATTCATTGAGTTTATTCAATTTCAGAGCTAACATGCGGAAACTCTTTACATCATTTATAAAAATAAATAAAGATTTTCTCATCCGAAAATGCAACATGCACATAACTAAATAAATTTGCCCGCAGGCTTACATCTTTAAAGTAAAAGAAAGGGTTTAACCCTTTTACATCAATGGCATTCTGCTCATAAATAAAAGGCCCCGTGGCCAACATATAAGGAAGATCCTCGATCTTGAAACCCATCTCGACGTTCACCTGAAAAAGGATTAGCAACGTGAAATAAACATAAAGTCCAGTAGGGATCTCAACATGATCCTAAACAATAGCAACTTACAGATAGCTATGATCATGAATGCTTAGTCTCATACTGTATAAATAATGTGACGGTTTATACAGAAATACACGTATATAAGAACTTTTCTCAAAATCGTTCATTTCATTCAATAATATAAGCAATTCACTTTTTGTAACGCCCTCAAAATTAAATCCATTATATATATATCATTGACAAGCATTATTTAAAGAAATCAATTTATTCATTCATTCATCAGAGTATTACTAAATAAAAGCATTACATGTAATATCGAATAAAATGCCCTACAGGCTTACATCTTTCCAAGCCAACACTTGGATACAAAATCATTCAATAATATAAGCAATTCACTTTTCTTTCTTCTTGTTATTTTTTTCCAAAAATCATATGATTATAACAAATTTCAGAAGAAAACAATTTC